TCAATTTCATCCCCAAGAAAAAATTTTTTTAACAAAAAAGTTAATGTGAATATCAATTTCTAAAGCTTAACTTACTTTTTTTAACTTACCTGAAACACCACAACCATTCTATCCTGTCCCTCAACGATTATAGCCATATAAAATTTAACTTGTAACATCGTGATACCTTCGTTGATTATGATATCGGAAATTTTTGAACGCTCGATGAATCGGGAAACACATCTACCGTTTATGTATACGGTTTCAACCTGTATACCAATATCGCGGATCGATAAGATGCTTTCTTTTGATTAATTTGGTATTTAATTTGAGGAAAACAGATGTTATCAAATATGTACAGTTTTTTAGAGTATTGATATTGCCACCCCAGATATCAAAAAATGCTCCGGAAGGGGTAATGTTATTAAGAAAAACCCTTTTTGGTCTTAATAAAAGTTGTTCATCAGGCCTTTCTGGTTCTAATGGTAGTAAATTGAACCAGTAGTTCCTAAGATATTTATATCCGAAGTTAGTTAACTTTTATTTACTTTTTAAAAAAAAACTATCATTCCGATTTTAATGATTTTACTACCATTAGAACCAGAAGGCCCGATGAACAACTTTTATTAAGACCAAAAAGAGGGTTTTCTTAATAACAATACCTCTTCCGGAGCACTTTTTAAATTTTAGGGGGTGGCATTAACAAAAATGGGAGGTGGCAATATCAATACTCGTTTTTTGATTCTATTAAACGGGTAATAATTTATGTCGTACCCTGTTTAACTATATTAAATTTTGTCCAAAGCCATATTATCAAAAGTGTTATACACATTCCATATGATATTGGTGTCCTATTCTATCTCGGAGAAAAAGTGTTACCCTTTAAAACATAAACTTCATAAAATAAAAATAAATACAAATTAAAATACCATCAATCCAATTATGGCAGCAAACGCGAAAGTGTATACAATGTCGAGAAATCCAAAAAAAGATTGTTCTGATACTATCGTATAGACTCTGGCATTGTCCGCTAGTATTTTGAAGTAAAATTGCGATTTTTTTATCGAGGTAATTGTGGGATCGAGATTTGACATGATAATGCGAATTGTGTTACCCATCTAATAGCCATTTATCCTGAGAGTAAATGACCCGGATTGCTTGAAGGTTATATAACAAATTAATGCCTGAACACAGTTTTTTCACTCTAATGTCATTATAACATGAAAGGGTGAAATCCGCGCAGAGGTGATAACTTTCTTGATGCAGATCTATACTTAATTAGAGTTAGTTACTATTTTAGATCAATAATGTAACTATTTCTGCGCGGGTTTCACCCTGTCGTACGTACGTATTATAATTATGACCTCAAAAAATTTAAACCATTAGACTCTTGTCACCATGACACATTTAGATTATTCAAATTATTCAAAGAAAAGAATATATTATAAAAAGCTTTGAAATGAATTAGATTCGTCTTTTTTTTTCATGGATACGTCTAACGATATTTCCGAAAGTGCTCATAGTATAATGAGAACTTGTAATGAGGCAAGTGTGCTAAGAAAATCTTAGGCTTGTTAGCCATTTTATACTTTGATGCATCTGTTACGTTGCTTAATAAATATGGACAATGACGCAGAGCAATCTGATTCTTTGACCCTTTTATCTCCTGCTTTACTATATTCGCCTTTATCCATTGGAACGATTAGTAGTTTCATAACTTCTGAAATGATTTTTTAACACTGGATTATCAATATATACAAGTTATTTTCTTTCTAATCCTCTATCTTTGTTGTATGAACAGATTGAAAATTATGAGGATAGTGAAAATGAAGATAATTATTCATTACAATTTAATCTTGCTTCAATTATCATTGGAAATTACAAATCTAAAAAGCTTGAAACTGTAACATTGTCTTTTAACTCTGACAATGATGCAATTTGTTTTGGACTTGATTGTGGGAGATTGGATATTCAGTTTATGGGTGTTGAATCTTATGAACGAGAGGACCGAAAGATTTGTTTAAAATTACGTAATGATATAGTTAAATGGATCTTGCCAGTAATTATTTGTCTATTTATACAATACCGTAAATACTTGTTTTTTAAGATGAAGCATTGAAGATTTTTTTGTAGGTTCAAACAAAAATTACTGAAAACGAAATTACAATCTCCATTGATCCAACTTGTGGTGAATTGTTAAAGGCAGATAGAATTATTATGTTCGTTGCAGATTATGAAAAAGTATCAGCTTTGGATAGGGAATTTCGGTAGGCTAGTAATAGTAAATATCTGTTTGTTTTTTTTTATAAACTTAAAGAAAAATATTTTATTTTCTTATTGTATTATAGTCGTATTCAAGTAAAAGCTTTCCATTCAACTTCGCTCGCCTTTCAATTTCAAAAAGGAGACGAAGAGGTTAGTCATTTCACTAAATATTAGGGTTTGATCTTCAATATTCTTCACATACGTTTTATTTTATAAAAAGATCGAGGTAATAGTCGAATATAAAACCATCCGTCATTTTCACTACATCCCTCTTGAAATGAATTTTACTCAATTTCTCATAATTCTGCGACGAGAGTTTCACTCACAACAAATTCACCCACCATTACGATATGTACCGGGCAGTTCTGGGGCTATTGGTATTTACAATGAGGAGGATTGGTGCTGTTATAAATTAGAAGCCGCGAGGAGGCAACGCATGAAGAAAGAGATTTTGGATGTATTCTTAGATGATTAAATTTTTTGTAGAACGTGACTCTTGCCTCCATTGCATTTATCCACGCGTAGCTTAGTTAAATAATAATGGATTTATTTACAGTAACAAGAAAACAGTAATATGCTTATTCATTGTCTTTGTGCTGCGTCAATGTAAAACTTAAAGACCGCTGAATATTAATTTCCTGCAAATATATTACCTTAATGTATTGTCTTCATTAATTTGATATATGTATATGTCGTAAGTGGAAACGAAATTTAGTTGATTCGGAATTTTTAAAGTCAGGATTAGAATTTTTAGTATAGTTATTTCTATTCCAATCTAAGTAGATTCCGAATCTGTTTATATTCCATTCCCACTTACAACACATGTACATCCATCTAGAATAATAAATAATATCAGTCTTTTCTGAATCATAAACCTACGAATCATACCCAGGTTCTTTTAATTGGAGGTATTATAACAGTGAGATATTGTGGTTAATAAATTTGATGCACATAAGACATAATGGGCTTAAAATGATGGATGACTATTAAAAAGCTCAAATCAAACTCGTCGTTTAACGTCGAGTCTGAATCGATTAAAATTGCAGTAATAAGCTATGTATATTAATTTTTTTTAATTTTACAATTTACAGAAAATTCTTTTTATTAAAGAGAATAGAGAAAAAGAATATTTACATCAAAGTGTTCATGTTAAAGTGACCATATTTAGATTCAGACCTACTTAAAGGAACATTGATATTAAAATTCTTTTGGATAAGCATAAAATTTCTAGAGTACATACAGTGGGTCTTCTGATTTTGACGTAGAAATATTAGATTGGTGAAAAGCCTTTTAAATGCAATTTTTTAAAGAAAAAAGAACATACGAGTAACGAAAATTTCAAGAGCATGTTTCTCAACAATAGATATAATGGGTCAATGTGAGTAAGAACGATTATTCTTTATGAGTCGTATCATTTTTGTTTTTAAATTTACCAAAGATACGCAATCGAAGGATGAGATGAAAAGGTGAGCGAACGAAGGTGATTCGCCCGCAAAAACAAATTCTCCTCACTTTGAATTTTTATTAAAAATAAAAGACAAGGAAATAATAAAAGGCAAACACACAATATCTGAGTTTAATTTATATATTTTTCTCGGAACTATTTCCGCACTCGAAGAGAAAAAAACTAATCTGATAATATACAGTAAGCCTTTTATAGTGATAAATCACCTGACAATTTATTTTAGTACGTACGTACGTACGTACTTTTGAGAATGTTTAAAGTACTACAAGTGCTTTTAATATTACGTAGTACAGTAAAAGATCAGGTCATTTGCCCATAGGAAGACTTTCGTATGATTGGCTGTTTAAGTCTATTGATTATTTTTAATGATGGAGTCCTACAACCCTAATAAAACAGCAGAGACAGTGCCCAATCCAGAGTGAATCCCTCTCTCCTGTTGATCAATCACAAATTAAATTATTTATATTGGATTCAATTGTGATGGATTTAATCCCTCACCAGTTTTAATATATGTGTAACATTAACGGTCTCTGCTGTTCCCTAATAAACCTTTTTTAAAAAGTACTTTAAACTGCACAAAATAATGTAAAATTAAATAGACATAAACAGCCAATCATACGAAAGTCTTCCTATGGGGTCATTTGCCCCATTTTGCAAATGACTTTAGATAATGTTACACCCTCTTATAAGTTCGGTATAACGGTTTACTATAGCGACGGATATATTAGGGAATTAATAACAGATGCCGATTTATGCTAAGTAAATATATGGTTTATTGCAGTTACGTACGCTTTAAGAGGATTAAGTGATTTGCAGTTACGAAAGAGGCAAACGGCTAAATGTATATGAAGATACAAGTAGTCGTATAACAAGTTTTATTCGAGTTATCTGTGTATGAAGTATGGAGACACTATAACCGATTTACTATTTTATTCGAGTTATCTGTGTATGAAGACACGATTACTCGTTAGGGAATGGTTATTTGTATGATTTATTCAATAAAGTACTCGAGTTGTTCGTGTATGAAAATACGACTACTCTTTATTTATTGTCAAGTTGTTGGAACTTCGAGTTCTGTTTCTTACATGAAAAATATCTAAGACTATTTATACTTTTAGACTTTCAATCCTTGCTACTATTTTTATAAATTACCGTAAAATCCGGACACGTGTACCCCCCCATGCCGTGTACCCCTTGCCATTTTGAAGCGCCAGTTCGTGACTTATACCCGGGTATTAAATATATTTTCTAATAGCATATCGTTATGCACTAAATATAACATATACAAAGTTATAAAAAACCAGTTTTTTAATTATATTACAATTGACACGATAACAAGAACTACTGATTCAACGATGCATTTAATACGAAAGATTAGTGTGTAGGGAGATTTATCCGCACATGTGATTATTAATGCATTTTTTATTAATCATTAAATTTACAACATGCATTAGAATCATTATAAAAAAACATTATAAGGTAAAATTTCACATTTATTAGAGCATAAAAATCAGTTCATTATGTAAAATTTTGACATACCGGTATAAGCAATTTTTAAACACAGACAAATTTTTTACATTATTGGTCGATTATTACATGTGCGAACAAAGTCTTCCTACATCCTGATACTGTTCTGATCTAATATAGCAAATTCAAGTTTATTTATACCATTCAATACAACTCTACAATTTTATCTTAGTAAAGCGCACATATTGCATTTGATAAAAAAAAAACTTTACCTAACAAACAAATCAGCATTATTCAAAAAAAAAAAAGAAAAGAAATTTGATTATTATTCCCAATCGTTATCAACCTCAGTTTTTTCATACTCCTTGTCGCTAATATCATTTGCATTCAATTCTTTGATATTTTCTTCATTCACATTTTTCAAATCTTCACCCAAAGCTTCATAATCAAACACCAAATCATCTTCAGACCCATCCATTGCTACTGAGATACCACAACACTTGAACATCTTTCTAATTATACAAGAATTAATTTCATCCTATGATTCTCCTATCTATTGAGCTAAAGTGGAATACGATGGTTTTCGGATACATCTAGCAAGCGTAAATTGATGAGTATTGTTGATCATCCAATGGTTATAATGAAAATGCACCTATCATTTAAAACTCAATTAGTATACTCTATGAATAACAAAAAAATATTTTAATTCATTATATCTTTTCTTTAAAACATTTGTTTATTACAATATCAAAAAGTTGCAATTTACTGGTTAGCCTCCCTAGTATTATAGCGAAATGAATATTGTTTCTGTGATATTCATGCTTAACAGAATCTACAGTATGATCCTTAAATGAATCTAAAATAAGGAGAGATTGGGGTTTCTCAATTCACTATGCTCAGACCACATGTTATTGATCCAATATATCATCTCCTCTTTATTACACCACCCTTTTGTATTCACACGAATAATGACACTTCAGAAAAAACTTTACGGGAAATGTTCTTTAATTTAAAAATATATACTGGTAGAAGTTTTCTTCCATCTGCAAGATAGCCCAAAATTACAGTAAAAGAGGTTCTCTCATGTCCAGTTGTTCAGATAGCTATTGTTTTGGTCCCATGTTTATCAAGAGTTACTGGGTATGGGAGGTCAA